GAATGGACTTTTAGCGACAAACTGTTGACCTTAGTGACAGGGAATAGACCTTAGCAACAAACTGTTGGCCTCAGTGACAGGGAATGGACCTTAGCAACAAACTGTTGGCCTCAGTGACAGGGAATGGTCCTTAGCAACACACTGTTGGCCTCAGTGACAGGGAATGGACCTTAGCAACACACTGTTGGCCTTAGTAACAGGGAATAGACCTTAGCAACAAACTGTTGACCTTAGTGAAAGGGAATGGCTGTCACATCGGCGTTTGTATGATTTGTATTTGTGCCTATGCATTCTTCTCATTACTGTTTATTTATTTTGTGTGATTTCTGCAGCACCTGATGTGCCTTATTCCTGTTTACCTCTTGGAATGGTACCAGAAGACAACCAAACAAAATTAGTTCCTGTTAATCCAAGTAAGTTATCTTCATCTGTTTGACTTGTATCCATGGTTTCACGAGATGTGTTTTAACATCAGCTTGTGTCACCTTTCACAACATAAATCTGCATAACCTTTTTTCATATATATATATTTTTATTAAATTATTTCTAATCTGTACCTTATATCTATTTAATTAAGAAGTCACACATAAATTATATAAAAGTGTTGATATTCTAATTAATAAAAAAATTTGTTTTATTTTAATTATTTTCTCTAAATTAAATTTTATTTTTTAAATCAACCAGATGAAATACGATATTCTGGTGTTTATTAAAGATTTGTTGTTTTCAATCACTTTTTGATTGAAACATTTATGGTACATGACTGGGACTTTGCATTGTGGGTGCTTGTCATTAATAGAGGGCAGTATTGCAAAAACATCTTCGCACTAATCAGTGACTATGGCTACCAGATCATGTGTTAATTTGATGATAGACAAACGCTCATGAAATTCTCAAGTCAAGAATAATTGTAAAATTCAACACCAGTGGATGTTGAAAATGTTGAAATCCACTAAATTAACGAACCATAAAAATGTTCCTGCAACAAAAGTTAATGTTGTATCCTGTTCATTCATTGTTGGTTTCTTCTAGGTCCCGAACTTGTGCACCATGTATTAGGATTATCATCAGCAAGTTCGGCAGAGGATGATGACATCGTTGGAAGCAACATGTTAGGATTCATTGTCATGTAAGTATAGTGTAGTTGAAGAATACATCAGTCTTTTTATAAGGTGTAGTTTTCGTTGGTTGTTACAAAGTCTGTTCACACATAGATTCATCAAAAAAGATTGTGAATAGAATTGGAGATAAGACAGCACAGACTTGATGGGTATCTAACGATGAAACTTTTAATATAGAACCCTATAGAACCCAATACAACTTCAAACAATACCTGGTAACATTGTCTCAGATGTTCATACACTTCTGTTTACGACACAAACAATATAGGTTGCAGTTTAAGAATTACGTTATTGACACAAGGGTGGAGGGCTCAAATAGTGTAGCCTGGTGAACTGGAGAGGTTTTATCATATTATGAAATTAATTATACCGTATCATATAGTATATGTGTTAATTCCATGTGCGATTCTCATCTCAGCTTAACTAAACAATAGACCAGACTAAGTATCCATAGGCTTTTAATGAAGAAAATACAGTATTGTGATATCTGTTTATGTTTTGTTGTTGTAGTACAAATGTAGATATGGAACGCAAGACATTTACAGTATTATCACCTGCACCAAGACCATTGCCAAGTAAAATCTGTGTCCTCAGTTCTGTCAGGTTCATGGACCTCAAGTAGTAGTGGATGTAGCCAGAACATGTGCGCACCACCCTCTTCATGGATCTCTAGTGGTATTGTACATAGGCTGGTAATGTGAATGGCGCCCTGATACCCTACCCTGTATTGAGTTATGGGTTAACTCACATACTATTAGGACATGGTATTTGGTACGAAATGTAGATTCATATTCCATCTGTGTTTTGTATTACTTGTTTTTTACAAGATCCTTCTAACTTATGAGTATGCGTTTTCATAAATACTCTACTCATCTGACTTAGTACCCAGGATACTCAGCTTCAAGAGTCATGTTTTTTAGAGGGCACCTCATTTTTAAAAAAATATGACCTAATTTTAAAAAAAATATGAAAATGACAGTTTTTGTTCACAATGAGAGTCAAGTATGGATACTAAGTCCCAGCTAGATGAGTATGGTTTATTGGAACCATTGAATAAAAATGTATATTTTTAATTAATATGTATTGTTGTCTTTATTTTTTTATCTCGAGGGAAATGTTTATTTGATACGCTGCTTATGTTTGCTCAGAAATATCATGCCTTTTTTGCATCAAAACATCATTTATCGGTGCACCATATTTCATCAGAGTGAGACTCACCTTTAATTCACTGTAGGTGGTATTATAAACCGCTTCAATTGTGCGCAAAATCCTAAAATAAAAATTAAATAGTTCTACCATACTGTTACTTTTGCTATTTTGGGTTAATCAGGGGAAATAAAATCCAGTGAAAATGCCTTTTTCCCTATATTTTACATTCTTGCATAAAACAAATATCAGTGAAAATAAACTCCATACAAAACAGCCAAAATGTCTTTTAAGCGAAAATAATTTTACAGTATCGTTAGTTACCAACTTTTATGTTTTTTGTTGTCTGAAATATGTGCAATCAAAACCTGGCAGCAGTGCCAAATACTGGATTTATCAAAAAATAGGAAAACAAATCATCAGTAATTTGACGAGATGAAGGATTTCTTGTATATATTACCATCATTTTCTGGCTGGTGGGACTTTTATATGGTTATTACAGTATCCACTTATAGATGAGTTGATGTCAGTGGATTTATTTAGTTACATTGTCCTACTAGTGTAAGAGTATTTTTTTAATTGTGCATTTTACAACCAATGATGTATATAACGTCAATATTCCACTGATATTTTTTAGATATTGCAAATTATGAACTGAACATAAAAAAGTTTAAATAAAGTACTTATTTTATGTTCAGGTGATAGCAACAATGCTTGTGTCAAAATATCTGCACCGCAGATTTTCTCAAAATGTTTTTTTATTTTATAAACCTTGTAGATAAGTGCCAGTCCATGCTTCTGCTGCATTACTGTAAAATCTGTATTAAAAGCTGCGGCTTCTAACAAAAAGGTGTACAATGCAACAGAGGGGGTGTGGCTTCTATTAGAGCATCTACACGTATGAGAAATGGTAAATTTTGGGGTTCTATATTGTTCAAAAAGAATGGGTGCGACTTATATTAGGGATGGGCTACTAATACAGATTTTACGGTACATCTCCACATTAAAACTCCTTTTTAAAAGTTTGAATTCCTGGCATTCTGGAAATTGTATATTTCTTCTGGTTTTATAGAATTTTTCTCTTCCAATACCAACATGGACAGCTGTTTTATTTTTGTCTTGCTTAACTTTTTCAAATTCAAACTGAAATGTTAAATATTTATTGAGTAATTTGGCGTAAATGGTCAAATCCATATCATCCTGGTTTTGTCAAATGAAGCATTAGCCCCCTCTAGAGTTGAACTTCATTGCCACAAGTTGAGGGTCAAAGATATGGAGATCACCTGATTTTCTACATATTGATTTGATTTTTGGTTCAACCATCTGGTGCCATGTTTAACGAATTTTTCTTTTTTAAATGGAAATTTCAATAAAATAATCAATATAGAAAGAATATATTGATATGTTTTTGTCTTTTTTTTAAATGGTGGTGATTTTATTTGTATACTAGTTGGAAAGAAGCAATTTCTAAATAATTATGCCTGCAAGTAATCAATTACTCCAGTTTGAATGATAAACTAAGATTTGTCAAATCAGACACAATGCCTAGTATTGACAATATACATGTAACCACAGTGAAATTTCAACCCTCCATACATTGCAATGAGCTGTGAAATTGAGTGGGTAATCGGCATGTGAAGGTTATTCAACCAGTCTCCGTATCCGTACATTCAGATGCTAGGCTACTGAAATCTGGAGTTAGTAATTAAATATCCGGTATTCTCGCAGTGTGTGGTATCATAGGAATGGTACACAAATGACAAAAAAGACTTTTTTCATGAATTTGATTTTTCTTGATTTGAGTGTCATTATATTTAGACATATTCTCATATTAACCTGATTTGACTG